GGCCAGGGCGCCCGCCAGGAGCGCGCCCCGCTGCATGGCGCCCGCCGGCACCGGCTCCCCGCACAGCTCGGCGCGGCCCCGCTGACGTGGCCCCTGCCTCCAGACGGCCCGCACCGACTTTCAGTTCCGGCAGTGCTCGCGGCCACAGATGCCCCAAAGAGGAACAGGAAAAAGGGGAGGCGCGGAGATGGGCGAATGCCCCGCCTCCGGGAAACTGAGGCACGCCCAGCCGCCAGGTGTTGGTTCGAAGAGGGTGGAGCCCGGCGCTCCCGGACCTAGGAGACCAACAGTGTGCAAAGGGTGGGGATATTCTTTCTTTCTTCCATTCCTTCCTTGACTTCTTTCTGGGAGTCGCAGCTCCCTATGTTAGAGAGAATCCGAACTCTCCTCCCTTTCACAGACCGAGGAGTCGCTCCCCAGCTCCTCGGGGCCATTGCGCACCGCCGCTAAGGTCGTGCACTGCATCAGGTCGCTGGCTGAGGAGACAAGCGACAAATGGAAATGCAGTTCTCGCTCCACTCACCGAGTCGTGTTTCCTGGAGTGGAGTTGCATCCACCCAGAGGGGTGCCTAATTCACAACGGTGAACAAACACCACAGGGTCAGGTGTGTCCTGAGCCCTCACGGACAGAGTGGGGACCTTTAGCTATTCACCAAATCTTTGCCCGGTGCCCTATGCCTCTTGCTGGTGTCAAAGGACAAAATTATAACAAATTTAGTTTAAAGATCTCAATTGGCTTAACTGGGATTTTAGAATCCGGAAACATGCTGATAGGTTAGCTCAGTTGGCTAGAGCGCAGTGTTGATAACACCAAGATCACGGGTTAGGATCTTTGTACCGGCCAGCCACCAAAAATAAAAAATCAGGCAACGCTTGATTCCATAAAATAAAATAAGTGTTCTAGTGAGCTGAGCAAAAGAGGTTGGCTTTTTGGACAGAGAAGGGCTGAAGAAAGCAGAAGCAAAGACCAAAGAATGAACTAGTTACCTTTCAAAGTTACTTTTTCTTGTAAGGCAGGAACAGAGAAAGAACAATGAAAAAAAATAACTGATTAACATCAGGATACTTCGGGCTACTTTTTTTTTTTTTTTTTTTTTTTGGCCACACGTACAAGTTGACAGGCTACTTCTTTTGTGTAAGAATTAAAGCAGAGGGAACTTGGTTATCACGCAGACTGAAGATTTACCCTGGCCTGTTTGGAAAATTGGCTGTTATATCTCTCCTGATTTCTCAGAAGGTCAGACAATAACTTAGTTTGGGTTTGGCTAGGTAGAACTCTAGCAGGGGTGACTCCATTTGGATTTTTAGTCTGGCCTGTTGGGGCCTAGTGCAGGAGCTTAGTCCAAAACAATAACCTCCTATAATTTTTTTTTTTTAGGCTAGAACTGCATGCCAATATACTTTTATTTAACACTGCGTGATGCTAGGGACACAGCAGTGACCGAGATAGTCCTGGACCCTGCCCCAATAGGGCTCCCAGTCTAATAGGGGAGACTGACATGTCATCAGAGTGACAGTGGTCAGGGCTCTGTTGTCGGAACCACAGACAGAGTAACTAAGGCTGGCATGGGGGAAGCCTAGAGGACTGTGGGAGTCCAGAGGAGGTGATGAACCCAGCCTAGAGAGGTGAAGAGAGCTTCCTGAGAAAGGGGCTGTCTGAACTGAGACATGAAGGATGAATACAAGTGAGCCAAGGTCTCTTTTCCCAGCAGAATCACAAATATATGGCTCTATTTAAGGGGGATTTTTTTTCCTTCCCTGTCTCTCCTGTAGGTCTCTCCACATGCATCTCCAGCTTGAACTCTGTACCCTCCTGGCAGCCTTCTGGAGGACAGCCTGGAATCCCCACCACATCTGACTGGCAGAGGACTGGGGCTTGGGGCCCAGCTCAGACACTCCCCAGCTGGTTCTATTTATAAAACGTGGCAATTCTTGGGGCAGAGACCAACTTGGGGCTGACAATCCACAAGAAGAGACACCTAATAATAAAAACAGTAACAGTAGTTGTCAGTGATCAAAGGCTTACAGTATACCTGGCCCTGTGAACATAAGCCCTTGCATTAAATCCTCAACCCTTCCCATATAACTCCCATTAAACAGATGAGAGAATTTATGCTTAAAAATGGAGTAGTTACATAACCGGTTAAGGGGTGAACGTGAGGCCAGGAGGAAGCCACAATACTTGCTTTATTAATAATAAAAAAAAAAATTCACAGGAGAGATGAATTAGAAGCAAAAGGGAGGGCTGAGGATGAGGAGAAAATAGTGGTGGAGCCCAGGAGACAGATGCTAACCCAGCGGTGAAGAACGGGAGTACTTCACTCACAAAAAAGGTCTGTGACTGAGCCAGGACTCATCACCGAAAAGCCAGGAGCAACCCTCAAGGTCCCTAGCAAAGACAATCTCTCAGAGGAGGAAGGGGAAGCCACAATGATAGGGTCACTTGCTGACATCCTTCCGGAGTGCTATCACTGTCCAGAAGTCACTTTGCCAGAGATAAGTAGAGGAGACTGAAGGACAGAAAAGGGGAGACCGAGGGACAGAGAGAAGAGAGACTAAGGAAGTTAGTTTTCAGGGCTCTTCCCTTGCAGGTACACCTAGGTGTGTTATGAGTTTCTGGGGGTCGTATAGTGTTTCTGGTGGACAGAGGAAACCAGGTTGCAATGGGAGACTGCCTGAAGACATCTTTGAAGAAAGATACCTGGTTCTTCTCACCTAACTTGTTGGGTGTCCCATTCTCACTTTACATACTCGCTTTAAGCCTAGCCGGTTAGGTCAGTTGGATAGAGCACCGCCTTATAACACGAAGGTTAAGATCTCGGATTCCCATACCGGCTAGCCGCCCCCCCCCCCCCAAAAAAAGCAAAAATATTCACTTTATTATTTATTTAATTAATTTTGGTTTCATCCATTTTATTGTCAAGGAAATTAACAGCCTGAAGATGTTCCCCAGGGTCACTTTAAAACCGGTAATTGCACCGGCGTTAGAGCCCGCACAACCCCGATTAGCCCCTCGGGATCACCAATGCGTCTCTCCTGCCCTGCTCCACACCAGGCTCCCCAGTGCTTTCACTGACCCATACTGAGTGCCTGACTGTAGAGAACTCCATCTCCCGTGAACTCCTTAGCTCCCTTCTACTCCTAGGATTGCTCTACTCGTAGGGTCGTTCCCGGCTCTGCCCTCCAGCAGCTCAGGTCCTGACTCTGGCCTTACGACACAGGCCACGCCCCTTACGCCCCTTACGTAAGCCACCGCCCATTCGATCAGGCTCCGTGAGGGCGTGGCCTCCGCGCACTCGTGACGCCTACTTGCTAACACGTCGCCGCCGGGGCGTGGCTACGGGAGCCGGGCTGGCCCGGTCCAAGCCGCGGCTGAGGCGGCGGCGGCGAAGGATGCACCCGGCAGGCTTGGCGGCGGCGGCGGCGGGGACACCCCGGCTGCGTAAGTGGTGTATGTGGCCGGTAAAGGAGATCGGACTGGCGGGCGGGGGCGTGGCGGGGCCATAGCAACGGTTGGTGAGGTCACTGCAGGTCACAGGTCACGAGATCAAGGATCCGGAGGTTTGAGGTGGGCACAAAGCAGGGATGCCAGGTTCCGGTAGGGAGCGCTTGGGGGTTGATTCTTTAGGAAATTCCTTTAGAAGCAAACAACTTGGGGCAGCATATAGTGGGATGTGCAGAGAAACGTGACTTTCATTCATTTGCAGTTAAGGATCTGCCCGCCCCTGCTCCCCACCCTTCCGTGGCTCCCGAGTGCCTTCGCCCACGCTGCTTAGTAGGGCCTTCATGGCCCTCTGTAAGCGGAGAGGGCCATGTTTACCCCTCACTTAAGACCTGAACCTATATTTTTTGTACTCTTAACCCCCTTTTCCCATCTTTATGAATTTGTATCTTTCAGTTTCTTTTCTCCATAAGTGTGCTGTGCATTTCATTTACTCATTCAACACATCTTGCCTCAGCTTCCTTGTGCCATGCCATGTACTGGAATTTGGGTACCCAGTAGAGACCAACATAGCCCTGGTCCTTGTTTTATTATTATTATTATTATTATTATTATTATTATTACTATTATTATTTTGGTCCTTGTTATTTTACAGCTCAAAAGTTTAGTGGGAAGAGAGACACTTAGCAAGGAAGCAAACAAGTCAGCAAGATAATGTGGGGAGTAATAAGGGCCATAAAAGGAATAATCCGGCTGTGACTGGGGGTAGAGAAGGCCTCTCTGTTGAAGGCAAAGGCATGATGTGCTATTCCTTCCCTCAGCCATTAGTAAGGTGTCTGGTTGGCCCTGTGGTGGGTGATGCAAGGGATACACCAGTGCCCAGACAGCCCTTGTTCCTGTCCTCGTGGAGCTACCAGTAGAGAGCAGAAGACAATGACAGTCTAGAGTGATGGAACTGTGATGAGAGAGGCACAGGCAGAGGAGTCAGGGCCAGGGTGGAGGTGATGTGGGAGCCCAGAGGGGTGGGTGTCAGTGAAGCTTCCTGGAAGAGGGTATGTCTAATGATGAGGAATTACCTAGGAGAAGGAGATATGCGGTGAAAGGAAAAGGCATTGGAGGCCTGTGCCAAGTAAACAAGTAGATGGGTGAGTATATATTTAGAAATTATTATTATTATTATTAAAAGATGACCGGTAAAGGGATCTTAACCCTTGACTTGGTGTTGTCAGCACCACGCTCTCCCAAGTGAGCTAACCGGCCATCCCTTATATTTAGAAATCATGATAAGAGCACAGAAGGGAAGAAAGAACCACTTGATATTGTGAGAAACAACAAGGTCATGCTTGTGCTTTATATTGAGGTCTGAGGAAGGTCTCTCGCAGGAGGAAGCACTTGAGCTGAGGCCTGAGTACAATATTGGCAGGTACTGATAGAGGGAAGGTGTTCCAAGATGATAGCACTGCATATTCAAAAGCTCTGGGGAGCAAGGAGCTTGGCAGGGTTAGAGCCTGAGGAGGCCCTTGTGGCTGAGGTGTGGGAGCCCCGAGACAGATAGCAAACAAGGGGAGTGGCAGGGTTAGGTCATGTAGGGTCTGGTAGGCTCTTGGATTTTATTTTGAGCACAGTGGGCACTGATCTTAGGCAGAGTATGACATGGTCTCACTTGCATTTAAAAAGATCACTCTGGGCTGCCCGGTTAGTTCACTTGGGATATCGTGGTGCTGGTAACATCAAGGTCAAGAGTTTGGATCCCCTTACCAGCCAGCTGCCAAAAAAAATCACTCTGGCTGCCAATTGGAAAGAAGGTTGGTGGGGCTAACAATGGACAGGGAGACCAGGTAAGACATTTAAATCAGGTATGAGATGACAGAGTCTGAGAGAGAGGGCAACATTGAGATGTAGTGGGTGAGAACTAGTGATTGGTTGACTGGATGTCAAATAGAAGGGGAATCAGGGATTTGGACACTGAGGTAAGGGCCTAGGGGCAACCAGAGGAAATGCCAGACCTGAGTCTGGTACCAGGAGCCAGGTGGTGGCTAGAGACACAGCCCAGGAGCCAAAGGCACACAGCAGCTGTGAGAGCTGGGGTATGGGTGAGATTGCCCTAGGTGAGAAGCAGAAGATAAGGGTAAGGGTGGAAAATTGGGCCACAACATTTTAGGAAGATGGGAATAAATAGTTGAATGAGAGGGACCTATTGGGGCCATCAGCTCCAAGAAGGCAGGAGTTTCTGTCTTTTTATTAATTGCTGTATCCACTGTGCCTATAGCAGAGTCTAACACACAGAGGGAGGTTCTCACGGGATGTTTGTGGGTTCAGACATATAAGAGAAACAGGTACGTAGAGTGTCTTGGAAGCAGAGAGTTGGAGGTTGGCATTGGGGCAGTAGCACAAAATGCTGCTAAGGGCTTGAGTCAGACAAGAGTGGGAGAACAGCCTGAGCCATGGTAGTATAGAGAGGCATTTAGGAGGCTAGGTGGGAGCAGAACCCCAAATGCCAAGGGCTGAGGGGTTGACAGGGAGGGAGGAAGGGCTTGCACTGAAGCTTTCAGGAAGCTGGCCCTTCTGGCCATACGTGGGAGAGGGAAAAGGGACTGGGGCTTGGGGACGAGGCCGGAGCCAGTGCTGTTTGCTTTGAGACTGAGGAGACCTGGGTCTGTTTTCAGGCCCCAAATGACTGAGAGGAAGAGTGGTGGCTAGGGACTGATAACAAGTACCGTTGCCTGAGCATTCTTTATGGGGCTGAGCCGTTTATGAGCATCACTTTGCCTCACAGCAGCCCTGCAAGGCAGGACCATTAACTACACCCTTCAGAGGAGAAAATCGAGGTGCTGAGAAAGTCACGCCAGATAACTTGATTCCTCTCGCCCATCCCATCCCATTGAGAGGGACTTTTTATTTATTTATTTTTTGGTGGCTGTCCACTAGTGGGGTACAGACCCTTGACTTTGGTGATACAAGGCTGTGTTCTAACCAGTTGAGATAACTGGCCAGCTCCCCCATCCCATGGCAATCTTACCACCTACTCCCTGTGCCTGCAACAGTGCCTGCCACATGGGAGGATCTCAGTAAATATTTGCTGTGGCACCATTGCTCATTGGTGAGGAGCAGGGGCACCCAAGCCAGAGTGCTGGGTTCAAATGCTGCCCTCCCCATCTCAATAGACAGCGCTCCCATCTACCCCATTCCTCAAACCGGAATCTGGGAAGACAGCGTTGATTCCTCCCTCTTTCTTACCACACCCCAATTGACTGAGGACCCCTCCAGCAAGTCCTGTCCCTCCTACCTCTGAAATCTGTCCAGAAACAGCCCCGCCCCTCTGCTCCCCACCCCCTGCCCCCCCCNCCCCCCCACCCCGCATCCTGTCCACCCTGGTCTCCCACATGAACCACCTAAGCAGTCTTCTTTCTCTGCCCTGCACCCACCCATCTGTTTCCACATGAAGCCAGAGGGATCTTTTAAAAGCTTTTGAAACCTGGCCCTGCGTTATGCTGTCTGTATGACTTTGGGCAAGGGCCAGAACCACTCTGGGGTTCCCTTTTCTCACCTGTAAAATGGGGATGATAATAGCATTGACAGAAATGGCATGGCTATTGTGAAGATTAAATGAGTTAGTCCATGGTGTTGAAAATGTGGCCTAGCATGTGGTCCGTGTTCAGTCACGGTTTAATTATTGCAATATTTATAAGACAGACCTGGGCTGGACTCCGGCTCTGCCACTCACTCAGTTTGGCCCTTTGCACAAGACATTTAGCTGTCTGGGCCTTGGTTTCCACATCTGTAAAATGGGGGTGGCCATTTATTCATTCATCAGATTTTGCTGGAGCGCCTGCTCTAGCCCTGTTCTAGGGACTGGGGATTCAGCTGTGAACAAGATAAAGATCCTCACCTTAGGGAGCTCACAGTTGAGTGGGGGAGACAGTAAGCAAATTGAAGAGCTAGTATGTCAGCTGGTGCTGAGTTCTGTGGGTATAAATTAAGCAGGGAAGGGGGGTGGAGAGTGCCACAAAAGGGGTACAGTTGTAGACAGGATGGTTAGGGAAAGCCCCACTGAGCAAAGACCTCAAGGAGGAGAGGAGGGAGCCCTGAGGACATCGGGGGAAGAGCATTCCAGGCAGAGGCACAGCCAATGCAGAGTCCCTGAGGTGGGAGCATGCCTGGTGTGTTCTGCGAGCACGGAGAGACCCAGGTGGCTGGAGCCGAGTGAGCAAGGGGGAGTGTGGAAGGAGATATGGGCAGAGACCTTGTCTGTAAAAGGTTTGGTACAGGATTTTGTGCATAGCAGGGCCCAGGACATGGTACCTATCCACATTATCCTCCTCCTCATCAGTATTATTTGGGTGGATGGGTGGCAGACGGGTGGATGATGGGTGGATGGGTGATGGGCGATGGATGGATGATGAAGGCACAGCCAGCACCTGACTGCCCCTCTGATGTAAAAACCAGTGCTCTCAAATGTTAAAATTTTTTGAAAAAAAACAAAACAAAACAGCACTCTCTAAAGGTGACACTCACCTCGCACTGTGGCAGGAGCAGGAGGGAGAGCTTTCTACAGGATGAGTGAGGCTCTCCACCCCTCTTCTCCCACAGCCTCAAAGCGGAGGATCCCTGTGTCCCAGCCGGGTATGGCCGACCCCCACCAGCTTTTCGATGACACAAGTTCAGCCCAGAACCGGGGCTATGGGGCCCAGCGGGCACCAGGCAGCCTGGGCTACCCTGCAGCCTCCACCTTACCCCAGGCAGCCTTCCTGGCTGATCCCATGTCCAACATGGCCATGGCCTATGGGAGCAGCCTGGCCGCGCAGGGCAAGGAGCTGGTAGATAAGAATGTGAGTAGCCAGGGGTGCTGGGCATGGGGGGAAGGCAGGGGCCACAGGGCCTCAGGCTTGAGCTCTGCCTCCCCAGATTGACCGCTTCATCCCCGTCACCAAGCTCAAGTATTACTTTGCCGTGGACACCCTGTATGTGGGCAAAAAGCTGGGCCTGCTCTTCTTCCCCTACCTGCACCAGGTCAGTGCCACCCCTGCCGCGGGGGGCGTGGGTCTGTGGGAAGGGTCAGAGGCTGGGGCAAGCGTGAGGGGCAGGGCTGGTGGATTTAAGGAAGGGCCTGTAGGCAGGACCCCCTCTCTGCGGGTCCTGCCTGCTCCCTCCATTATCCCCACAGGACTGGGAGGTGCAGTACCAGCAGGACACACCAGTGGCCCCCCGCTTTGACGTCAATGCTCCGGACCTCTACATTCCAGGTTTCACCTGACCCACTACCTTCCTAGTGCCCTCCTCCCTCTGGGTGGGCATGTCTTGGGCAGGGGTTTGGGTACCTTTGAGTCCCAAGATGGTCCTTCCTCCTCTGACCAGTGTCTGTGTATCTGCCTCCCACAGCAATGGCTTTCATCACCTACGTCTTGGTGGCTGGCCTTGCATTGGGGACCCAGGATAGGTAAGGGAGTCTTGGGGCAGGTGGAGGGGGTGTGGTCTGGGGGGTCAAGGGTCAGTCAGGAAAGTCCGGGTTCCCTCTCAGAACAGCCCCAGCTTGCTCCCACTTGGCTCAAGACAGAGCCCTGGGTATTGTGCCCCACATCACTCTGGCCTTTCCCTCTCCTTCCTCCCCACGTGCACCCACACCACACCTTGTGTGAGTGACCCTCCAAATCCCTCGCCACTGGACCCAGCCTCATCCTCCCTCTCTCCTAACTAGCCACCTCCCCACCCCCACTGCAGCAGCAGCCAGGGGGGTCTTGTCTGAGATGCGGGCCTGGCCATGTCCCACCCTGCTCAGAAGCTGTCCATAGCTTCCCCGGTCAAGCCCCCCAGCGCCTTAGCCGGCGCTGCCCATCTGTGGAGCCCCTCTCTGCCCCTCCCCCTCACTCACTCTGCTCCCCCACTCTGATCCTCTTTCCATTCCTCCGGAGGGCCTGGCGCTGCCTCCCCACGACCTTTGCTCAGAGTACTTCCTCCCCTACATCACCTGCTGAGCACCTGCTCGTTACAATGTCTCCAATTCAATGTCACTTCTTCAGAGAAGCCTTTCTGCCCACCAGACTAGGTCAAGCCCCCATCTCTAGTTCCTAGTCCCCTGTTTATTTCCTTTATGTCACTGAAAACAACTGTCATTTGAATGAATAAATTAATTGTTAAGGCCCTGGGAGAATGGCAGAGACCAAGGCCCTTTGTCCCTGACTAGTTCCTTAGTCCAGGCCTCAGCTCAGGTGTCCCCTCTTCTGGGAAGCCCTCTCTGACTCTCCCTTCCTCACTGGGTCAGGCACAGCCCTCTGTGCTTCCACCATCCTCGGCCTGCCCTCCTCTCTGGAGTGGGATTTCCATGAGGATAGGCCCAGATCCATCTTGGTCACTGCCAGGTCTCCAGCCCCACCCAACACAGGGCTGTCCCCAGGCAGATGCTGAGGCAGCATCTGAGCTGGCCACCTAAATGACAGCTTGGGTGCTGGCAGGTTCTCCCCAGACCTCCTGGGGCTGCAGGCGAGCTCAGCATTGGCCTGGCTGACACTGGAGGTGCTGGCCATCCTGCTCAGCCTCTACCTGGTCACTGTCAACACAGACCTCACCACTATTGACCTGGTGGCCTTCTTGGGCTACAAATATGTTGGGTGAGTATCCCCCACCCTGCCTGCCAGTCCCAGCCCATAGGCCTCTTGCTCAGACCTGCCTTCCCCTCTCCTTCCCCCCAGGATGATTGGTGGGATCCTCATGGGCCTGCTCTTTGGAAAGATTGGCTACTACGTGGTGCTGGGCTGGTGCTGTGTGTCCATCTTTGTGTTCATGGTGAGCTGGGGCTCAGCGGGTGTGAGGCTGAGGGCACAGGCCTCCTGGGCAGAGTTGGGGGTCCCTGGAGGCATCTGAGCATGGAATGTCAGGTGGGGAGTTTTAGACCACAGCCACATTTCTGAACTGAAGAGCCCTGGAGTGGCCGCCACAACCTGGGGGTCAGAAGGGATTCCTGGAAGAGGGAGTGTCCAAGCTGGGGCCTGGAAGAAGAAAAGGAGCCAGCCAGGCTGCTAGGGGCTGGGGTACCCAGCATGCTGGCTCTGGGCTGAGCTCTCAGCCTTGCTCTCCTCTCCTTACATGGTTGGCTTTCCCGCCAAAATTTCCCCCAGAAGGAGATTCTCGGAGAGCCCTTCCAACTGGAGTGGGGGTGCTAGTTAAGAGCACTGGGATCCACCAGGCCTGGGTTGTCCCCAGGCTTTGCTAGATCCTGGGCAAATCACTTCCTCTGTTTAAACTTCAGTTTCCCCTTTTGTAAAATGGGATGATGAAACTTGCCCCTTAAGGTAATGGGAGGGTTTGATGTGAGCATGTGTGAGAAGGTGGGCCAAACCTGCATGTCTTGAAAAATTGTCATCTGGTCAACATAAGAGGTTGGCAGCAGGTAGGCCCGAGTCTCACCACCCGCTACAGGCAGGGTATCCACAGTGAGGTTTTCTCCCCACTCACTTACAGACCTTGCCTGGCATTTGAGTTTGAAACCCTCATATTTTGCTCACAGGGCCTGGAGAAGAGCAAGTCCTCACCATGTGTTAGGAGATTTGGGGAAATCAAGGTCCTCAGGAGCAGAAACCTGAGGCTGCAGAGCGGCAGGGACTTGTCCCCAGCTGTCTGGTATTTAGGGGCAGAGGCTGGAAGTACAGCCAGGCCGCCCACCCTGGCTGAGGGCTCAAGGGTAAACCCCTTGATCCCTGTCTCTCTCCTCCCCACCCAGATCCGGACGCTGAGGCTGAAGATCCTGGCAGAGGCTGCAGCTGAAGGGGTCCCAGTGCGCGGGGCCCGGAACCAGCTGCGCATGTACCTGACGATGGCCGTGGCGGCGACGCAGCCTCTGCTCATGTACTGGCTCACCTTCCACCTGGTGCGGTGAGGCTGGCCCGGCCCAGGCCTCCAGCTGCCTCTCCTGGTGGCCTCCGCGCGCGCTGCCGCCAGACTCATCTCACTCCGTCTCACGGCCGGCCGCTGGCCCCGGGTCCAGGCGCCGCCCCGATCCTGAGACACCCCACCCCCACCCCAGAGAGATCTTGAGCTGCACAGGCCGCCGCGCCCCGCCCCGCTGCGGCCGCTGTTAACAGAAACAATAAACCCTGATGGGCACGGCGTGGCAGCCTCTCCTTGGCTGGGCAGGGTGGCGGCTGCCCGGCAGGGGGCGGAGCTGGGGACCAACAGGGACAGACAGGGGCGGGGCAGGAGCCGAACACTCCGCTCACTCCTAACCAGGAGGCAGAGAGGAAGGTTTAATGAGCCCCTCCCAGGACCCCTCAGTGGCGAGTGTCCTTCTTCTTGTCCTTCCCTTCCTTCTTCTTCTTCACCTTGGGCTTCTTGGCCTTGGCCGGGGAGGTGTCATGCTGCTTGGAGACAGCACCATGGGGCTGTGGGGCCAAGGGCAGTGGGTGGGAGAGAAGAGAGATCGTTCTGGGCTGGAAGCAGGGACTGGACCCATCCCGCCCCAGCGCTGGGACTCTGACTCGGACCTGGAGCACAGGGCACATGCTTAGGGGGAGGGGAGCCCCTTACCTTCACCTCTGTGTCTGAGTCGCTGGAGCTGCTGCTACTGGAATCTGAGGAGCTGCTGTGGCCATGCTAGATGGGGGGGATGTCACCATGAGCCGGGAGCCGCCTGCCCCGCCCCCACACCCCATTGGAAGCGGGATTGTGGTATGTCTATACAACAGAATACTATTCAGCAATTGAATAGTCGAGGGCCCGAGAGTCAAAGGCAACCCCCACTCTTCTACCCCTCCACCCCCTCGCGGCTTGCCAGGTAGTGAGGTGACTTACCCTCGGATTCTGAGGTGTCCCTGCCTCTGGGCAACCCTGAACTTTGGGGGGGCTGTGCTTAGGGCCTCCAACCGGGTCTGCCCCCGGGGGCTTCTTGGAAGTGGACTCCAGGGCTGCAGAGAGAAGAGAAGTTGGGTGGGTTGGCGCAGGCAGCAGGCAGGCCCCTGCATCTCAAACCCGCCACTCCCCAGGAGCCCACCTGCCGTCAGGTCAAACTCCATGGTGCTGAGAGATGTGTCCGGAGGGCCAGGACGGCTTGCAGTAGTGCCGAGAAGGGAGGTGGGGAGGCAGGGGGAGGAGCAGCGGGACCTGCCCGCCCAAGGAATTCTGCGGAGCTCCGCCCGACCTTTGTCCTAGGTCCTTAGCCCTGACTCACCGCCCCTCCCTGGCACCACCCAGCTTTTCCTCTGTGGGAAATGAGGAAGGGGCACAGTTGGCTGCCTCCTACCCAGCCTTGGCCTTCGAGGGGGGCTGCGTGGATGGGATTCAAGGGTGCCGCCTGTGTCCCGTGTACCACGGTAATACTAACACTCCGTATGCGCCTGCGTTTCCCGACGCGCTGGACACTGGTCCAAGGGCTTCGTGCTCTAAACTAGCTGCGCGCGATGGCTTGGTGAGAAGCACCGTCTGAAGGTGTGAGGAGCCTAGACTTGGAACCAGCCTGCTGCGTTTGAAGCCCAGCTGGGTTACTTAGCGGCAGGACGGCCTCAGGAAAGTTGCTTCCCCTCCCTGTGCCTCAGTTTCCTCACCTGTAAATGACAGCACCTGATGGAGTTAATGGGTTAATTTCCTAGAATGGTGCCTGACACAGATTAAGTACAATGTGTTAGTTTTTTTCTTTGTTTTTATTTTTTTATTTTTTTATTTTTAAAAGATGACCGGTAAGGGGATCTTAACCCTTGACTTGGTGTTGTCAGCACCACGATCTCCCAAGTGAGCGAACCGGCCATCCCTATATAGGACCCGAACCCTTGGCCTTGGTGTTATCAGCACCACACTCTCCCAAATGAGCCGAGGGCCGGCCCATTGTCTTGTTTTTTAAATAAAAGGTAGGTTTCTTAGTTCAGGCCTCTATAACAACTATACCATAGACTGAGTAGCTTAAAGAGCAAACATTTATATCTTCCAGTCCTGGAAGTTGGAAGTCCAAGGTGCTGGCAGATCCAGTGTCTGGTGAGGGGGCCTGCTTCCTGGCTTGTAGACAGCCGCCTTCTCTGTGCCTCCTCATGTGGCTGAGAGCAAGATCATCTCTCTCGTGTCTCTTTTTGTAAGGGCACTAATCCCATCCATGAGGGCTCCACCCTCATTGCCTGATTACCTCCCAAAGCTTCCGCCCCCAAAAACCATCCCACTGGGGGATTAGGTTTCTTTCTTTCTTTTTTTTTTTTTGGTGGCTGGCCAGTGTGGGGATCCGAACCCATGGCCTTGGTGTTACAAGGCTGTGCTCTAACCAACTGAGAACTGGCCAGCCCAGGATTAAGTTTCAACCTATGAATTCTTTTTTTCAATAAGTACGTTTTAAGATGTTGGGGGGGAAGGGGAGCAGGGCTGGCCCACAGCAGGGCTCTGTCACTGCCCTGGCTATGGTTGGGAGTGAGTGGGGTGCAGAGCTGAGGCCCTTGGCTCCCCAACCCCCACCTCAGGACCCCAAGGGTTTCTGGCTCCTCAGTGTATGAACTGTGGAGACACATTCAGTCCATAACAGTAGGTATTGTTACTATCCCTAGTTTACAGCTGAGAAAACTGAGAGAGCAACAGGGTAAGATGAACAGGCTAGAATGGGAATTCAAACCCAGGTGGTGTGGCTCCAGTCCAAGACTCAGCCTGGCCTCTCTGTCTCACCCTGAGAGGCTCTGGCGGAATCAGTAGCAAGCCAAGCCCAGCCTTCTGTCCTTTGGACTGGGCCCAAGTTAGGCTGGGGGAGTAACTGGGAGCCTGAGTCATCTGCTCCTATCTGTGAGGCTAGGTGTCCTTCCATGTCCTTTTCAGCCCAACCATGCCACCAGCAGCTGCGCTACCTGTACCTGCAGGAAGTGGATGCCTAGGCAGGAGCAAGCTGAGACCTGGAGATGATAATGAGTGTGCAGTTCACACCTTTATACACTCAGGTGTGCTCAAATGTCCACTCCTCAGTGGGGCCTAGCCTGACTGCCGGCAACCCAGAGCCCTGCCACTCCACCCCCTTCCCCTGCTTGATGTTCAGCGCAGGCTGTGCTTACCCTTGTTTGAAGCTATCTTTACTCTCATTCACTCCTCCAGTGAATTGAGCACTTACTACGTACCTGGCACAGTTCAAGTGCCTGGGGGTACAGAGGTGAACAAAATTAGCAAAAATTCGAGCCTCATGAAATTGACATTCTAGTTGGGAAGACAAAGTAAAATGTATAGTATGTTATGGAAAAACTGGAAACAAACTAAAATTCGTCACCTGGTGAATGGATAGACAAAATGTGGTATGTCTATACAACAGAATACTATTCAGCAATAACAAACTCCTCAAAAATAAGCTAGGTGAAAGAAGCCATACACAAGAGACTATGTATTGTATGATACCATTTATGTGATATGTTCAGAAAAGGCAATTACGGAGAGAGCAGATTAGTGGTTGCTGGGAGCTGAGGGTCGGGAGTAACAGGGATTACTGTCAATGAGCATGAGGGATCTTCCTGTGGGGATGAAAATGTTCTAAAACTAATTTGTGATGACAGTTGCACCATTTGGTAAAATTATTAAAAAATTGGTGAATTGTACATTTGAAATGGGTGAGTTTTTCCAAAATTAAGGTGCTAACAGGAAAAAACAAAGACGAAATGGGAGAGTTTTATTCAACTTATACCTCAATAAAAGCTTTTTTTAAAGTAACATATTCTAAAAAGAAATACAGCAGGAAAGGAGAACAGGTAATAACTATGTGGTTATGTTGGGGAGGGGTTGGATTTAAAGAGTCACCAGGGAAAGTCTCACTAAAGTCTATCCTGAGTAAAGATCTGTAGGTGAGAAGACAAGTCATCCAAGCATGTAGGAGTGTTCTAGGAGAGGGAATAGAAAGTGCACAGGCCCTGAGAGGATGGAAGGAGAGAGGCAGGAGATGAGACAGACAGGTAAGGGGTTGGGGGCTTTGGTCTTTACTCTGAGAAGAGGAGGTGAGTGATGATTGTGGCTTTGCCCCCACTGGATGCAGGATATGAAAGTGTCAGTCTCTCCTGGCAGATCATAAATTCCATGAGGGTGGGGACCTCATCTGCTTTGCTCATCACCCACAATGGTGTGACTCAGAGTTGTCACTCACTATCATTTGGTGAATTAGTGAGATTACTTGATGCCTGGTACTGTGCAGTGGCAGGTTAGAGCCAGCACAGAGTGGCTACGAGGTTGGGTTCTGGAGGTCAACCTGCTCACAGGTAGAATCCTCTCTATCCCTTACTGCTCTGTGGACAAGTAAGTTAACCACTCTGGACCTCTTCTGTAAAATGGAAAACTTACCTCATAAAGTGAATGGTTTTGCACAGAGCCTCCCCGGTACAAGGTAAATAGATGCTCAATAAATGTTACTTTTTATTACTCACAAACATCACCTCATTATTCATGAAACTGGCAACAGGGTCCCCATGTCATATATGAGACAACTGAGTGTGAAAAAGGTGCAGTTTCTTGTCCAAGGACACTCAGTGAGTAGGTTGTGGAGCAGCAGCGTGAGACCTTCCTTGTACACCCTCAAGAGATAGCTCTTTTCTTTTCTACTGTGCTAAAGTTGTGGGGTGGGTGGCCATGGCCTGGTCCTCCAGAATCCCACCCATTCACTCCTGTATTATAATTAGGATACAGCTCTAGCAGCTTTTAAAGAGACCCAAAGGACAGAGGCTTAACAAGATAGTGTCACTTTTCTCTGATACAAAAGCATGAGCTGGTTGGGAGCCCAGAGCAGGTGCATGTGGACCCAGGCTCCTCCATCTTGTTGCTCTGCATCCTCCAGGGTGTTGCTCTTGGACCTACAGGGAGACCCACCCCCCCCTTCGGGTGACTGGGAAGGGCAATGGCAAGTGGAGGACATACTGCTTTCTCTTAAGGACCTAGCTGGAAGCAGCACACACCCCTTCAACTCATCCATTGTCCAGGACAGATGGTCACATTTTTTCTTTTTCCTTTTTGTCTCTTTTTTCGTGACCGGCAACGGATCGCAACCCTCAGTGTTGCCCCCGTACCGGACCGGGACCGGCAACAGGATCGCAACCCTCGGTGTTGCGCCCGCTCCTCGCTCAGCCAGTGAGCGGCCGGTCTGTATGTGGGATCCGAACCCTCGGCGGGAGCGCCACCACACTTC